TATAGACTATACTATAGACTATACTATAGACTAGACTATAGACTAGACTATAGACTAGACTATTGACTAGACTATTGACTAGACTATAGATTAGACTATTGACTAGACGATTGACTATAGTCTAGTCTATAGTCTAGTCTATAGTCTAGTCTATAGTCTAGTCTATAGTCTAGTCTATAGTCTGTCTATAGTCTAGTCTATAGTCTAGTCTATAGTCCTAGTCTATAGTCTAGTCTTAGTCTAGTCTATAGTCTAGTCTATAGTCTAGTCTATAGTCTAGTCTATAGTCTAGTCTATAGTCTAGTCTATAGTCTAGTCTATAGTCTAGTCTATAGTCTAGTCTATAGTCTAGTCTATAGTCTATTCTATAGTCTAGTCTATAGTCTAGTCTATAGTCTAGTCTATAGTCTAGTCTAGTAGTCTAGGTCTATAGTCTAGTCTATAGTCTAGTCTATAGTCTAGTCTATAGTCTAGTCTATAGTCTAGTCTAGTCTATAGTCTAGTCTATAGTCTTAGTCTATAGTCTATAGTCTAGTCTATAGTCTATTCTAGTCTATAGTCTAGTCTAGTCTATAGTCTAGTCTATAGTCTAGTCTATAGTCTAGTCTATAGTCTAGTCTATAGTCTAGTCTATAGTCTAGTCTATAGTCTAGTCTATAGTCTAGTCTATAGTCTAGTCTAGTCTATAGTCTAGTCTAGTCTATAGTCTAGTCTATAGTCTAGTCTATAGTCTAGTCTATAGTCTAGTCTATAGTCTAGTCTATAGTCTAGTCTATAGTCTAGTCTATAGTCTAGTCTATAGTCTAGTCTATAGTCTAGTCTATAGTCTAGTCTATAGTCTAGTCTATAGTCTAGTCTATAGTCTAGTCTATAGTCTAGTCTATAGTCTAGTCTATAGTCTAGTCTATAGTCTAGTCTATAGTCTAGTCTATAGTCTAGTCTATCTATAGTCTAGTCTAGTCTAGTCTAGTCTATAGTCTAGTCTATAGTCTAGTCTAGTCTATAGTCTAGTCTATAGTATAGTCTAGTCTAGTCTAGTCTATCTAGTCTATAGTCTAGTCTATCTAGTCTAGTCTATAGTCTAGTCTATAGTCTAGTCTATAGTCTAGTCTATAGTCTAGTCTATAGTCTAGTCTATAGTCTAGTCTATAGTCTAGTCTATAGTCTAGTCTATAGTCTAGTCTATAGTCTAGTCTATAGTCTAGTTATAGTCTAGTCTATAGTCTAGTCTATAGTTTAGCCTATAGTCTAGCCCATAGTCTAGCCTATAGACTAGAGTATGGACTAGACTATATACTAGTACCAGACTATAGACTAGACTATAGACTACACAATAGACTAGACTATAGACTAGACTATAGACAAGACTATAGACTAGACTATAGACTAGACTATAGACTAGACTATAGACTAGACTATAGACTATACTATAGACTAGACTATAGTCTAGACTATAGACTAGACTATAGACTAGACTATAGACTAGACTATTGACTAGACTATAGACTAGACTATTGACTAGACTATAGTCTATAATCTAATCTTGACTAGACTATAGACTAGACTATTGACTAGACTATTGCCTAGACTATAGTCTATAGTCTAATCTATAGTCTAGTCTATAGTCTAGTCTATAGTCCAGTCTATAGTCTAGTCTATAGTCTAGTCTATAGTCTAGTCTATAGTCTAGTCTATAGTCTAATCTATAGTCTAGTCTATAGTCTAGTCTATAGTCTAATCTATAGTCTAGTCTATAGTCTAGTCTATAGTCTTGTCTATAGTCTAGTCTATAGTCTATTGTGTAGTCTATAGTCTAGTCTATAGTCTTGTCTATAGTCTAGTCTATAGTCTATTGTGTAGTCTATAGTCTAGTCTATAGTCAGTCTAGTATATAGTTTGGACTAGTCTATAGTCTGGTACTAGTCTATAGTCTAGTCCATACTCTAGTCTATAGTCTAGTCTATAGGCTAGACTATGGGCTAGACTATAGGCTAAACTATAGACTAGACTATAGACTAGACTATAAATAGACTATAGACTAGACTATAGACTAGACTAGACTATAGACTAGACTATAGACTAGACTAGACTATAGACTAGACTAGACTATAGACTAGACTAGACTATAGACTAGACTATAGACTAGACTATAGACTAGACTATAGACTAGACTATAGACTAGACTATAGACTAGACTATAGACTAGACTATAGACTAGACTATAGACTAGACTATAGACTAGACTATAGACTAGACTATAGACTAGACTATAGACTAGACTATAGACTAGACTATAGGCTAGACTATAGACTAGACTATAGACTAGACTATAGACTAGACTATAGACTAGACTATAGACTACACTATAGACTAGACTATAGACTAGACTATAGACTAGACTATAGACTAGACTATAGACTAGACTATTGACTAGACTATTGACTAGACTATTGACTAGACTATTGACTAGACTATTGACTAGACTATTGACTAGACTATAGACTAGAATATAGACTAGACTATAGACTATACACTCGACTTTACACTTGACCATAGACTAGACTATAGACTATAGACTAGACTATAGACTAGACTAGACTATAGACTAGACTAGACTAGACTATAGACTAGACTAGACTATAGACTAGACTATAGACTAGACTAGACTATAGACTAGACTAGACTATAGACTAGACTATAGACTAGACTAGACTATAGACTAGACTAGACTATAGACTAGACTACACTATAGACTAGACTATAGACTAGACTAGACTATAGACTAGACTAGACTATAGACTAGACTATAGACTAGACTATAGACTAGACTATAGACTAGACTATAGACTAGACTATAGACTAGACTATAGACTAGACTATAGACTAGACTATAGACTAGACTATAGACTAGACTATAGACTAGACTATAGACTAGACTATAGACTAGACTATAGACTAGACTATAGACTAGACTATAGACTAGACTATAGACTAGAGTAGACTATAGACTCGACTATAGACTAGACTATAAACTAGGCTATAGAATAGACTATAGACTAGACTATAGACTAGATTATAGACTACACTATAGACTACACTATAGACTAGACTATAGACTAGACTATAGACTAGATTATAGACTAGACTATAGACTAGACTATAGACTAGACTATAGACTAGACTCTAGACTAGACTATAGACTAGACTATAGACTAGACTATAGACTAGACTATATGACTAGACTATAGATTAGACTATAGACTAGACTATAGACTAGACGATACTAGACTAGACTAGACTATAGACTAGACTATAGACTAGACTATAGACTAGACTATAGACCTAGACTATAGACTAGACTATAGACTTAGACTATAGACTAGACTATAGACTAGACTATAGACTAGACTATAGACTAGACTATAGACTAGACTATAGACTAGACTATAGACTAGACTATAGACTAGACTATAGACTAGACTATAGACTAGACTATAGACTAGACTATAGACTAGACGATAGACTAGACTATAGACTAGACTATAGAACTAGACTATAGGACTAGACTTATATAGACTAGACTATAGACTAGACTATAGACTAGACTATAGACTAGACTATAGACTAGACTATAGACTAGACTATAGACTAGACTATAGACTAGACTATAGACTAGACTATAGACTAGACTATAGACTAGACTATAGACTAGACTATAGACTAGACTATAGACTAGACTATAGACTAGACTATAGACTAGACTATAGACTAGACTATTGACTAGACTATAGACTAGAATATAGACTAGACTATAGATTAGACTAGACTATACACTAGACTATAGACTAGACTATAGACTAGACTATAGACTAGACTATAGACTAGACTATAGACTAGACTATAGACTAGACTATAGACTAGACTATAGACTAGACTATAGACTAGACTATCGACTAGACTATAGACTAGACTATAGACTAGACTATAGACTAGACTATAGACTAGACTATAGACTAGACTATAGACTAGACCATAGACTAGACTATAGACTAGACTATAGACTAGACTATAGACTAGACTATAGACTAGACTAATAGACTAGACTAAACTATAGACTAGACTGTAGACTAGACAATAGACTAAACTATAGACTAGACTATAGACTAAACTATAGACTAGACTATAGACAGACTAGACTATAGACAGACTAGACTATAGACTAGACTATAGACTAGACTATAGACTAGACTATAGACTAGACTATAGACAAGACTATAGACTAGACTATAGACTAGACTATAGACTAGACTATAGACTAGACTATAGACTAGACTATAGACTAGACTATAGACTAGACTATAGACT